TGGGTATGTCCTTGGAACTTGCCAACCCCTGCCCCATAGCCTGTCCCCCATGCTTGGCGCCTTTTTCCTCTCTGCTCTCTCTTCAAATCCTCATTTCCTTGTGAGTCCCAGCTTGGGTACCATCATCTCTGTGAAGGCTTCTAGGATCTCTCCCTCACCATCCTTCACATCATTAGTGTTGTATCCTTCCTCAAATTACCTTGTAGTCACCAGTTTTCTCCTCTCGATAATTTCCTGTTTGGGTAACAACAGTCAGATAAATGCTCTCATTGATATAAGAAAGGGCATGGAAATCCACTGCCCCTTGGCTTCATTCCCCGTCCCTGTAATTGGCAAACCTTGGACCAAAGCTTCCTCCCCAACACTCCACCCCTCAGGCCGTGAACTCCTTGAGGGAAAGGGATAATTTTCAATTTGCCTGGTACTTAGAAGGGATAGAGCCAGTGAGTGAACCTGCTGTTTCATTGGTAGGGGGAATGACGCCATGAGGAAACTCCCTTTATCATACAAATAGGCACCTTCTCTGGAATATACCATCTTCTGTTACCCAGAGCACTGAATGGTAGAGTGAGCTACCCATGTATTGCCACAGCCAATATACATCAGAAGATTTGAACCCAGGTCTTCCTGGCTTTGTGACCAGCTTTCTATCCTCTCAGCACATAGTAGGTGCTTAATGTTTGTTGACTGACTGACTTCTCTCTGCATATGTTGTATCTTCCTGTAGAATAGAATTCCTTCGAGGGCAGGGATGCTTTCATTTTTGTCCTTGGCTCAACCCTCCACCTCTCTGTAGCTCTGTTTCTTCCTTCAAGGCCCAACTAAATGACACTTTCTGCACAAAGCCTTCCCTGGCTCCCTGAGCCTCTCTTTCCTCTGTTCAAGGAGGGGCTTGGCCTAGGAGGATCCCCTTTTCTCATCCCCCGCCTCCATCTTCTCCCTCCTCTGTCCCATTTTGTCTGGATTCCTTCTTTGCTCCCTCCCCTCCACCCCAATTTATTCTTCCTTCTTGGAGCTCGAGAGCTAAGACCTTATGTGGAGTATATTCTACCCTCTCCTAATCCTGGGAGCTTTTCTCACACTCGAGACTCATTCTTGGCTTGTTTCCAGTACTTAGCAGGATCCTTCCACTTAGGAGGCACTTAAGTCTTTGCTGAATTGAAATGAAATTGACCTGGGGGTTCTCCAAGAGAGGAGAAGATTAGAGAGGTAAGGGACTACTGGGGTGGAATGTCATATATACCAGCCTCAGCTGATGTATTGGTTAGTTTTTATGAACTGCTTCCCCCACCCCTTCAAGGGGGTACTGGTGATATATTTGAAAGTAAAGGTGACACAAAAACAAATGATATCAATAAATTTCAAAAATCAGTTGAATCTGAGACCTCCCCCATTGACCATCCAAGTCCCCTCCATTTTTCTTGCTACCCAGATGTCCTTGGCATCCTTGCGCTTCCCATCCACCCACCCCCATCTTGGTCTACCTGGAGGAGGGGGAACCTCTCCCTGACATGTTGACCCTCAGCCAATGGGGTCAAGAATGAGGGTGGGCCATCACACCTATCAGATTGGCCAACATGACAAAACAGGGAAATGATAAATGTTGGAGAAGATGTGGGAGAATTGGAACACTAATGCATTGTGGGTGGAGTTGTGAACTGAGCCAATCATTTTGGAAAGCAATTTGGAACTATGCCTAAAGGGCTATAAAAATGTGCATACCCTTTGACCCAGCAATAGCACTTCTAGGGCTGTATCCCAAAGAGATCACACAAATGGGAAAAGGACTCACATGTACAAAACCATTTATAGCAGCTCTTTTTGTGGTGGCAAAGAATTGGAAATTGAGGGGATGCCCATTAATTGGGGAATGGCTGAACAAGTTGTGGTATATGAATGTGATGGAATACTATTGTGCTATAAGAAATGATGAACAGGCAGACTTCAGAAAAACCTGGAAAGACTTGTATGGACTGATGCTGAGTGAAGTGAGCAGAACCAGGAGAACATTGTACACAATAACAGCCACGTTGTGCGATGACTAACGTTGATAGACTTAGCTCTTCTCAGCAATGCAAGGATCTAAGACATCTCCAAAGGTCTCATGATGGAAAATGCTATCCACATCCAGAGAAAGAACCATGAAGTCTGAATGCAGATCAAAGCAGACTATTTGCTATTTTTTTTTCTTCTGTTGAGTTTTGTTTCCTCTTTCTGGTGGTTCCTCCTATTGGTTCTAATTCTTACTTACAACATCACTAATGTGAAAATATGTTTAATATGAATGTAAATGTATAGCCTATATCAGATTGCGTGCCGTCTTGGGGAAGGAGGTGGGGAAGGAGGGGGAGAAAAATCTAAAACTCAAAAGCTTATGGTAGCGATTGTTGATAATTCAAAATAAATTAATTAAAAAAAAAGAATGAGGGTGGGAATGACGACTGGGGCAGGGTTGGGGGTGGGGGTGAGGTGAATCAACAGTGATGTGGGCTTGAATGTGATCTCAGGCTGAATGATTAGAAGGGTAATGTGGAGAGAGATGGAGGAGACCTTCCAATTGTCCTTTGCTCTGGTCAGACCTCTCTGGATTCATGAGCTAGAATCTAGGCACCGAACCTCAGTGTGGCCCAGGCCCTCTTCCTACTCTCCACAAAGGTGGAAATTGAAGTTTCCCTAGAGATGAGGTGGGCCAGATCCCAGATCTTATCTATCCAAATATATCCCTGGAAATCCGGCCAACCAGGTCCTTGTTGGCCAAAGTCTGAACTAGTACTCTTCATGCATATTGCAGAGTTGAAGACACTGAGGCCCGAGCAGTTTCTGACCTGTCTGATGCCCCACAGGTTCTAGGGCTTAAGGATTTGGAACAGTGACGAGCCCTCAGGGGCCATTCGGTCCAATCCCCTCATTTTAGAGGACGAAACTAAGCCAGTCCCTGGCCCTGCTTGGAAATGATTCTGGTTTCCCAAAGTAATGAAGTCCTTGTCTGTCCTTTCCACAGGAATCAGAGCTGAAAGGACATTAAAAACATTCTATTTTCTAGTTATTTTATGGATGAGGCTTAGAGAAGGGTATGAGTTGCACTGTTGGTCAGTCCTGTCCGACTCTTTGTGACCCCATTTGGGGCTTTCTTGGCAAAGATACTGGAGTGGTTTGCCATTTCCTTCTCCGGCTCATTTTTACAGATGAGAAAACTGAAGCAAACAAGGTGAAGCCCAGGGTCACCTAGCTAGGAAGTGCCTGAGGCCAGATTGGAACTCAGGAAGATGAGTCTTCCTGACCCCAGGTCTGGTTCTCTATCTCTTTCACCACCTAGCTCTCCTGTGAGCTGCCCAAGGTTAATTCAATTCAGTATTAAAGACCGACTTTGGATGAGTCCCTTGCTAAGCACCAGGGAGACAGAGGACATTTAAGTCAGAAGCTTCAGGGCTGAGATTCCAAGGCGAGATTCCGAATCCCCCGTTCTTTCCGCTATACTTTTGAGAAGGAGCCTTTAAGGTCCCAACTTCCAGCTCTAGAACCAGGCTCTACATCGAAGTCTCCAGTAAATAGAAACCTCGAGGATTCAGCTATAGGGTTGGCGACACAGGCCTTTCTGCCTGTTCTTTGAACAAGACACTTAATTTCCTGACTTCATGTCTTTGCACTGGCTGTCCCCCATGTCTCCTTGACTCTGACTCCTGGCTTCCCTCAAGCCTTATTGTAAATCCTGCCTCCTACAAGAAGCCTTGCTCAGACTTAGAGTTAGGCTCAAAATAAGGGTTTCCCTTCAACACTCGTGCCTTAACCTTGGGATTATCTCTGATGAATCCTGTCTACATAGTGTATGTACCTAGTTACTTGCATACTGTCTCTCCCATTAGAATGGAAGTTTCTTGAGGGTAGGGAAGGTTTTAGCCTTTCTTTGCAGTGCCAACGCTTAGCACAGCGTTTGGCACAAAGACAGCAAAGTTTGTTGGCCATAAGGTACCTGATTTCAGTTCTACAGAAGGCAAAATGTTCTAACAATCAGAATTGCCCAACAGAAGAATGGGCCATCCTTTTAGTTAATGAGCTCTCCAGACCTGGAAGTATTCAAGCAGGAGTTGGATGGCTTCTGGAGGGCGTGCAGAGAGATGGGACTCCTACATTGCCAAACATTTGGCCAACACTCCAGAGTGAGTTGAACCAGATTAAAATGTAATTGAGAAATATTAAAAATAAATAGAAATACAACTGACTACAGGTAATGTTAACATCCTGAGGTGCTAAGTGTGCTGGGCCCCTGGAACCAGGTCACACCTTGAGGCTGGAATGCTCAGCCCCAGACTGGCCCTTCCTCTCTCTCTCTCGTCTCCCTGCCATAGGAAACAAGAGCCTTCCCAGCGGCAGAGAGATACAGAACTGGGGGAGCCCGGCTGAGTCTCACAACCACTCTGGCAGGGAGGACTATCATCCCCATTTGATACATGAAGTAATAGGTTCAGAGTGGTGGAGTGATTTACCCAGGGTCAACACTGCTATTACATGTCTAAGGTCGGGTTTGAACTCAGATCTTCCAGACTCCAAGTCCAACGCTTTATCTATTACACCACACTACCTTCTATAACACTTAGCACCGCGAAAAGCTTTAAAGACAAGCTAGTCCAATACTCTCATTTTACAGATGGGGAAACTGAGGCCCAGATAAGCAAAGTGACTTACCCGAGGTTTCATAGTTGCTAAGCAGCAGAGCCTAGAATCCAACCCAGGGCTCCCCTGAGCTCAAGTCCAGGACTCTACCGTGGGCACTAGAATGGAAGGAAAAACAGTGGCCGTGCCCTTCAGAGCCGGGGCTGGGGTGACGGAGACCCAGAGCAAAGGGCTCCTTGGGGGAGCCAGACAGTGGCCCCCCCGTCTGCTCCCCCGTGGAGGAAGGGAGGGAGGGAGGGAGGGAGGAGGACACAAAGGTGACCGATGAGACAGAACCGGTGGATTCGTTTGCTTTTGTTTCATACGGTTTGGTTTTTTTTTTTTTTTACAACTTTAAATACAGAATATAAATTAATTTTACATTTAAAAAATAAAAGAAAAGCCAAAAAAAATATAATCACCGACTTTAAAAACTGAAGGAAGCAGGTTTCTGAGTAGGGGAAAGAGCTGAAGAAGGTGGGAAGGAGGGGAAGGCAAGCCTGCCCCTCCCAGCCCAAGTCATCCCACCCAGTCCTTCCCCGATGACACCTGGGAGCTGGCCAAGCCTGAGGGCAGGCTTCCTCCAAGACTCAGCAGCCTCTGGGAACTGCAATGAGGTCCCTTGGGGCCTTCCTCTCTCCCAAGGGACTCTTCTTTAGCGTGTCCCCAAAGCAGACTCAAGGAGAGGCCCCAGACGCTCAGGGACGGATTTGTTTTACAGCTGGACAGAACCTTAGGATCATTTAGTCCAACCCCCTCATTTTACAGATGGGGAAACTGAGACATAGAGAGCAGAAGGGACTTGGGTAAGGTCACAGGGTTGGGATGAGGTTGGGGTGGGGGTGTTAATGGCAGACGCCAGAAGCAGACCCCAGACTCAGTGGTCTTCCCACCACACCAAAGCTGCTCCCTTACTTAGGGGCCTTCACTCCCTCCCTCCCACTCCTGTCCCTGGCTTGCCTGTCACCCCTCTCCTGCCCCACCCAGGAGCTGCCAGGCTGGGGCTGGGGGAGCATAGGGGCTGACCATGATGTAGGAGAATGAAGGCAGAGAGAGAGAAAGAGGGAAGAAAGAAGGACGGAGGCAGCAAATGTCGGGGGAGACAGGATAAGGAAATAACCAGACTGGGTCTGGCTTCCCTCAGCAGAACAGTCTCCAGCCCACCTGAGACAATGCTCTGAGGAGCAGGAGGTGAGCCTCCCGTCAGCACGACCGGCCACAGGCTGCTCTCCCATGGCAAAACCCGCTTCAGAAGAAACCACAGTTTCAAAATTATGTGCATAAAAAGTAAAATAACAGTGCAGGGAATGGGCAGGACACGGGGAGAGGGACTGCCTTGCCCAGCTCCATGCTCCTTGGGCACTGGCCAGCGGTGGAGTGCACGGGAAGAAGGTTCTTGCCTGAAGCCCCACCAGTCCAGGGCCACGGCCACAGAAAGACACTCAGGCTCGGGGCTGTCACGTGGCCAGGCTGATCCTATGGGTCCTCGGGGTACAATCAGTGCTTGGAGCCCTCCGAGCCCTCAGGCCCCTACTGTGGGCGTCCCATCCATCACCCAGGCTGGGCCTCTGGGAGGAAAGGGAGGATGGAAGAAGCGGCCCCTCTCACCAAAGGCATCCTCCATTTCTTCCTTTCCTCCCCATTGTCTGTGGGAGGGGTGGCGGTGGGGGTGCAGGGCCTTTGGGAGCCCCAGCAGCTGCTGGGCGCAGAGGGCGAGAGCCGAGGGTGCCGCTGAGCCGGGAGGGACAGAAGATTCACTGCAAGGCCGGGGGACAGGGGAAGCACCATTTGCCATCCGCGTCGGCCACCGAGACGGACAGACAAGAACAATATTCTCACTCCAAGAACCCCATGGGGGCAATACGAGAAATACATTAAATAAGCCTGGAAGCCAAACAGAGAAGAACATGGTGGTCAGACACCCCGGCAGAGAACACAGAACGTGGCTCCCCCCAGCCCACTCCAGGGATCCCAAAGGACTCCGGGGAGGATGCCTCCTGATACGCCAGGTCCTCTGACCCCAGAGCCAAGGATCCTTCTACTGTATGGAAAGCCTTTTGCCAACCTTGAAGTGATACATAAATTTTGACTATTCTACTTCCTATGTGACCTTGGGGAAGTCTTTTCCTTTCTCTGGGCCTCAGTCTCCCCATCTGTACAATGGGGGAGGGGAGAGTCAGACAAGAGGACGGTTGAAGTTCCTTCTTGCATGAGCTCAATAAGCCTGTAACTGATGATCCTGAGTCATGTCAGCTTTGTGGGACAGAGCTCAGGGTCCGTGGAGATCCAGGGACGGTCGGGAGATCAGGCAGAAGAGGGGGTCCCTAAGGTAGAAACTCTGGAGGACGTCAGGGGCAGAAGTGTCCTGAGGGCTGGTGGGCGGCACTCCTGAAGAAGGCTGGATTTGAAGGGCAGCGAGTGAGGGGTCCATGGGGACTTCACATAACTACAATTACACTTTTGGTGACAGTTGGGGGAGCCACGCTGGGGGCCGAAGGCTGGCTGCTGGAGGAAAAGTGGGATGGAACCTGAGACCCCAACCGTCTGACTATTAGTAGTGATTAATCCGTCCTTCTCCCATTATAGAAAACTGAGGCACCACAGAGGGGACGTGAAGGGTCCAAGGTCACACAGGGAGTTAGTGGCAAAGCTGGGACTTGAACCCTTAGCCCCTGGCTCTAAACCCATCACTTCTTCCATCGTGCCATCTGCTTTGGCCCATTTCCCTGGCCAGGAACGATCCTAAGGAAGGGCCAGTGGGGTCAGGTGCCCAGGAACACCCAGGGACGGGAGGTTTTCTGACTCAAGTTTCCCTGTTTCACCTCCTTTCCCATTACCTGCCCATCATGCTCTCCCTGGCAGGTGGCCCTATGCTCCAAGGCTCTCCTTCAGGGCCGTCTTGTCGTGGGTATGCTTGAACTTTCGGTGTTTCCCCTTGGGCGGCCGTCGGATCCGAACCCTCCGCACCGTCACCTTGTTTGGGGTGGATCCATCTGTTCAGAAGGACAGAGAAAGAGCCTGTTGTTTTACTCATGTCAAAGGTAGTGAAGAAGTAACGATACCGTGTCTCTACACAGTTTAGACTGTGAGCAAGAATCAGAAATCATTGAACTCAACCCCCAAAACGTAGATTGCATAGGAAAGTATTTCCTACATGCCAAGACTTTCTGGGAAAACTGAACAGCAGTCTGGCAGAAATTAGGGTTAGACCAATATCTTACACCCTATACCGCAACAAACTCAAAATGGAAACACGCCCTGAATTTTAAAGATCATATCAGGGTACTGGGATTATTAGAAATAAATTTTTTTGGAAAAGTAAGAAAAATTACTGGAAGTGATTTTTGAAAGAATAAACATGGGATAGAGGTGATTACAAAAGATAAAATAGATACTTTAGATTATGTGGATTTGAAAAGTTTTTGCATGAATAAAATTAATGTTAACTAGACTATGAAGGGAAGCCATTGACTGGAAAGAAATCTTTGCATAAAGTATCTCTGAGAAGGGTCTGATATACAAGATATATATAGGCAATTAGTGGAAATATACAAGTACAAAAGCCATTCCCCAACAGATAAATGGTCAAAGGATGTGAACACATAATTATCAAAAGAGTCACAAACTATTAACAATTATATGAAAGAATACTTCAAATCACTAATGATAAGACAAATGCAAATCAAAACAACTCTTAGGTTCCATCTTGAACCCAGCATACTGGCAAAGACGATGAAAGTGGAGAACAAGGAATGTTGGAGGGACTGTGGAGAGTTAGGAATGCTGTCTTTGTTGGAGTTGAGACTGGTTCTAACCATTCTGGAAAGCAATTTGAAATGACTTGAAGAAAGCGTCTAAAATATCCACGCTCTCTGATCCAAAGACACCTCACCCGCTAGGTATATATCCCAAAGAGGCCATGGACAAAAACAAAGGCTCTACATACACAAAAATATTTATAGCACTCCCTTTTGTGGTAGCAAAGAATTGGAAACAAAAGAGATGTCCATTGATGGGGGAATGGCTAAACAAATGGTGGTGTGTGGTTTTTGTTTTTTCTCTTTTTCATTCTTTTTTATCAAGGAGGCTATCTGAGAAGGGAGAAGAGAAATACACTAGGAAATGTAGGTGATGTAAAGATAAAAGTTATCAAATTTATTTTAAGAAACCTCAAGAACATCACACACACACACACACACACACACACACACACACACACACACAGAGGGCGTGGTGTCTTTGCAAACTAAGGTCTCACAGTGGGTCCCTGGTGAAGAGAAGGCAACAGAGATGGCCTGTTCAGCTCCTTTCGTCATTTAATTCAACTCAACAAGAATTTGTTAACCACCTACAGTGTGCCCAGCACTGTGCTAGAACATAGGACTGCACATATGAAAAAGAAATAGTCCCTGCCCTCAAGGACCTTACATTCTATTGGGGAAAACAACACATACACGGAAAAGCAAACACAAAATTCAAAGGTCAACTCGTCCCACATTTCCTAAGATCTGAGATCCAGAGCTGGACTGGACCTTCTTCTTTCTAGAGATGAGGCCTCTCCAGAGGAGCTCCAGAATGGGCTCAAGGGCTCACAGAGCAGTAAGGGGCAGAGTTGGTATTTGAACTCATGTCCTCTGACTCCATCTCATTTCATCTTTCCCCCTGCTGAGGTGTTTATACTTACACGATGCTTTTAAAGTTATACAAAGCCCTAACAGGCATCATCCATTTGACCACAACAATTTGTTGTCATTAAATCATTTTTCAGGCATGTCTGACTCTTTGTGACCCCATCTGGGGTTTTCTTGGCAGAGATACTGGAATGGTTTGCCATTTCCTTCTCCAGCTCATTTTTATAGATGAGGAAACTGAGGCAAACAGGGTGAAGTGACTTGCCCAGGGTCACACAGTTAGAAACTGTCTGAGGCCAGATTTGAACTCAGGAAGAGGAGGTTTCCTGATTCCAGGTCCAGCGCTCTAACCATTGCGCCACTTAGCTGCCCCCTAACCACCAATAGGGAATGTTATAATCTCCCTTGTACAGATGACGAGACCATTTCTCAGAAAGGCCAGGAGATTGGCCCAAGGTCACATAGTTAACTCATTTTAGAAGCAGATTGATAGGATCATAGAATGTTAAATCTGGGAGGGACCTTAGAGGTCACCTCATTCCCTTATTTTACACAGAAGGAAACTGAGACCCAAAGACACAGTGATTCACTTTAGGTCCTTTTGACTCCAAAGTCCCAGTTCTCTGTACTCCTCACCCTATCATTTCTCTCTCCACAAAGCAGGCATTAATAAATGCCAAGTGCTGGAATTGATTTGAATTTCAATTCTACCAATGGCAGGGGTCTGAGGGATGGCTGAGGGGCAGGGTCAAACAAAGGGAGCAACTTTGCCCATGGTCGAGATATGTTAAGGCAGCTGGGTGGTGCAATGGATAGAGTTCTGGGCCTGGAGTCAGAAAGACCTGAGTTCAAATCTAGCCTCAGACATTTATTAGCTGTGTGGCCCTGGGTAAGTCATTTCACCACTGTCTGCCTTAGTTTACCTTTCAGGATTGTTGTGAGGATGAAATGAAATAATATTTGTAAAGCTTAGCAAACCTCAAAGCGCTCCAGAAATGTTGGTTGTCGTGACAATGGCAATGTTGATGCTGAATTTGGTCATGATGATGATACTGATGATGAATTTGGGCATCTGTCCACAAGGATTCAGGACTCTGGCATCCACTCCCACCCCAGCCTCTGGCACCCCTGGGCACCCCTGGCTGCCTTCCCGAGCTCCTCGCAGAAAGAGCCCAGTACCTCTGTTTCCCTGGGTGCTCCCGGGGCTCCGGATGGAGAAGCGGGGGGCTGCTATCGTTTCACACTTGCAGGCCAAGTGGTCCTCCAAGGTCACTGTTGCCTTCTTGAAGGTCGGCTTCTTCCTCACAATTTCTATCTTCCTGACCTGTAGGAGATTGATGGAAATAAGAACGGAGCAGAGAAGATGTAAGATCTCCCAACGTTGACCCTTTCCTCCTTCATCAGAAAATCCAACCCCCACCTTCCCTTCACTTTTTCCATCAAACAAGACTGCCCAGCAGCCCCAGTACAAATACCCCCTAAGAAGAGGAAGAGGCATTTCCATTTCTGAGCCGCAGATGGTGAGCATCCTTGCTCCTGTGATCCCTCATGTGCCAGCCAAGCTCACAGGGGTCGGCTGTGGGGGTGAGGGATGGGGCAGGTGGCTGTCTGGGAGGAAGTGTGGGGGAGCCCACTTGTCAGGGGTTTGGGCAGCTGTCAAGTGCCCATTTCCAGATGGCTGGAGGGGAAATCCATCAGGGAGAAGGGAATGGTTGTCCCTGGGAACACTCCAGTTGGTAAGGACCTCCAGTTGGGTGAGGGTGAACAGGACAGAGGGACACCGGGGGGAAGAGGTTGGGGGCATGGAGCCACTCAAAGGGTCATTAATACCCACTGAATTCCCTCTTTACAAGTAAAGTGAAACAGCCCAGGGAGGTCTAGAGGTGCTAGGAGCCAGCAAGCATCAAGGAGGACGAGGAAAAGGAAGAGGCTAGCCTCCCCAGCCTCCTTCAAAACTCAGCTCGGGTAGCACCTGCTGCAGGAAACAGCACATAGAAGCCCTTAATCCATCCTTACGGAATGGATGGATGGATAATTAATGTTATGTAGCATGTTAGAGTTTACAACATGCTTAGTGTACATTTGATCTCAGGGAGGGGATGAGGATTCCCCGTGTCCCTCTTCCTTCTTAGAACAGTAATAATAGCTAACATCTATAAGCTACTTACTGCGTACTGTGCTAAGTGTTTTACAATGATTATTTCATTTGATTCTCCCACAACAACCCTGGGAGGTGGGTGCTATTATTATCCCCATTTTACAAATGGGGAAACTGAGTCAAGCAGTGGCTAAGTGACTTGCCCAGAGTCACACAGCTGATGGGTGTCCGAGGCCAGATTTGAACTCAGGTCTTCCTGACTCCAGCTCCAGAACTCTATCCATTGTGCTACCCAGCTGCCCCAATAGCACCCCGACAGGATGCGGAGATAGGACCTTTAGGATCATTTAGTCCAAGGCCCCCATTTTAAAGATGGGAATACTGAAGCCAAGAGAAGTTATGGATCTGGCCAAGGTCACCCAGCCCTCAGGTGCTCCAAGTTTCTCTCTGCAGGGCCCCTTCCACCTGGAGAGGGAGCCCAGCCCCAGACCACCAGGCACGGCGCAGCCAGAGACACACACCTGTACGTGCCTCAGGTGCACCTGGGTGGGGCGGCACTGGACATTGCGGTTGTTACAGCAGCCAGAACATCTCTGAACCTCCACGCAGGGCGGCCACACCAGAAAGTTGGCGTTGGTGCGGTCGATGAGGCGCCGGGAGATCTCAAACACTTCTGTCCGCGTCTTGCACTCTGCAATCATGGCTGGCTCGGCCACGGTCACAGCCGCTAGGGAAGAGGAGGCAGTGGCCATCGGACGGAGTCCTCCTGGGCCTCTGGGAGCCTGGCAGCTGAGAGCTGAGAAGGACCCTGGGGGCCCAACCCCAGGAAGCTGCAGCCCAGACAAGTTAAGTGACTCATCCAGGGAAACAGCTCAGGCCAGGCGGAGCTGGGACTCCCACCCATGTCTTCTGAGTCCACGCTGGGGCTCTCACCACCCCGTGGTACGGCGGGAAGGCCGGCCACATCCCCAGACACCATCCCCCCGCCCCCATATAGAGCTGGAAGGGACCTTGGAGGTGATTCGGTCCAGCCCTTTCATGGTACAGAGGAGAAAACTGAAACCCGGAAAAGGAAAGGGACCTGAACAAGGTCTCATGACTAGTAGAAGCCAGGCTTAGGTTCAAATCCAGGTCCTCGGACTCCCCAGAAGGAAGGAATCGTTCTGTCTCTCCCAAGCTTCCCGCTCAGCAGGGCAGGCAGGGAGGGAGGGAACCATGGGGGTTTCTCCCTAGCCCCTCCAGTCTCTCCCAGGATCCCTTCCCATCTTACCCACACTCCTCCTTTCACGAGGCAGGATGAGCGGCTCACTCAGGGAATGTGCCTGGGTCAGATTCAGGTCCACTTGGGCCACATCCTCCCCTGCAAGAGAAGGACCAGCTTCATGTTCAGGACCGTGGCAATGGGGCCCTTGGGTTTAGGGATGGGGATCTTCCCCGGGGAGGCTGAGATAAAAGAACCTCCATCCTCTGTCCCTGGTCATCTGCTTCACCACAAGTGGTACCATCAGGTACAACCGATGCATTGTGGGGGAGTAGCAAACACACCGACTGGTACCGAGGGGGTGTGGCTTTGAACATATCCCTCCCCAAGCCTCAGTTTCCTCATCCATCACACGAGAGGCTTGGACTAGACGGTCTCTGGAGCTAGGATCCTCAGATCCTCTTCTACCCAAGATGATTCCTCAGCCCTATGTGAGATTGCGGGCAGAGAGAGAGGGAGTCTTGCAAGGAAGACTGAGAGGGGGTGGAGGCAACAATTACAGGCTTGGTAGAGTCAAGCCTTCTTCCCCTGGGGCTGCCAACCCCACCCTCTGTCAGAGAGTCACATTTTTGGCCAGAACCCATAGAAATGGAGTTAAAAATAGCCCTTCCCCTCTGCTACTGTAAGTGAAACCTCCGGTCCCCCAGGCCAGGCGGGTGCAAGGACCCTGAGCATTCACTTATTTCCAGTGCCCCCATCCACCCCTGCTTTCCCACAGGAAGTGCTGAATGGAGAAATTCCCAGAATCCTCAGGGGGGAGCTGAAGTTGGGTGTGGGGGAGAGGGCAGGGTAGCGTTCTTACTTTCAGCCCCTCCTTACTCCTGGGCACTGCCTTCGTTGAGAGGGCAGAGGGCCTTCTCAGGGAGGCCTGGACTGGCCATTGGTATTGGGAGTCGATACTTTTGTCCCCCAGATAGAGGAAAGGTTCTAGCATAAATGAAGGTTGAGTAGGTCAACCCTGTGGATCATTCTGTTCTGCTGAGGGCTGGAAAGTTAAAAGGACTAACCGGCTGAGTCTACTACAGTGCCTTGGGGTCTCCATGACCACTGCCCCCATTTCACAGATGGAAAGCCTGAGGCTCAGAGACAAGTGCCTTGCCCAGCTACAGGGGACCTAGGTCTCTGGGCTCTAAGTGTCCTGACTTTCTAAGCCAGGGAGGAGCGGTGCCCTCTACTCTTACACTGATTTCCCCAGCTGAGTCACTAACTCTACCCCCCTGACCGGCTCTAGTCAAAGCCTACCTGCCAGCCTCGGATGGAGGCTGCAGGTGGGAGGTGAAGTGGGGCTCCAGGCCATTGTCTTTCACATGCAGAATTCCAATGACAACCTCCAAGCCTTTGGCTGGTCATGGGAGGGGTAATCTCTCATTCTTAGAATCCCGAAGAATTCTTTGAATTTCTACTCCCCTCTAAGACTCAAATGCCATCAACAAGAAGCCTCTCCTGGGTCACAAAGCTCCCAGTGTCTCCCTCTGCCCTCTTGCCTTTATCGTGTGTACTTCAAAGGGTCCAAGAGAGAGAAGGAACCCTTGAGACCACCTATCCTAACTCTCTTCTCTTTAAAGACAAGGACACAGGGAGGTGACTTAAGTCGTACAGAGGAAGCGTCAGAGATAAATCCTCTGAGTCCAAGGTCAGAGCTCTATGTACATGGGGCTTCTCCCCACCCTTTCCCTGGAATGGAAGCTCACTGAGGGCAGGGAATGATTCATTTTGGGGTCTTTGTAGCCCTAGCACCAGGCTCAGTGCTCAAGAAATGTTTGCCGGGTGATTAATAATAATAACAGCTACCATTGCATGTGCCAGGCACATAGTAAGTGCTTTACGATTCTGATTTCATTTGATCCTCACAACAACCCTGGGAGGGAAGTACTTTCATTATCCCCATGTTACAGATCATCAATGTCAAAGGGGGTTCAAGGGAAGGAACCTCAGACATGAACCAGCCCAACCAGCCAGTTCTCAGCGAAGGGAAATGACCTGCCCAAGGAGATGTGGGTAAATAGTGTTGGAGCCAGGACTCAAACCCGGGTTATCCAACTCCTCCTATTATGCCACACTCCCCTGCAGATGATCTGAGTTCAAATGCCAGCCTTAGGACTAGGTGTCTGGTGGCAACAGCAAGTCAACCCCTTCTCTGGGCCTCGGTAAAAGCAGGGGGCTGCACAAAGGCCCAGGGCCCTTCTGGCTCTAAAGCCTCTGATCCCTGGGCTTCCTGACCACTCCCACACCTTCCCAGCTCTCCCTCTGGCCTGTCCTCTGGCCATGTGTGGCTCCACTCAGCTCCAGCTAACCAGGTCCCTTGAGGCCAAGATTAGGCTCCCTCCTCCAGCCAGCCGGCCTGCTCTCTCAGGGGAATCTGGAAAATGTCCTGCTGGATGCATTTCCATCCTCCCAATTAGTCCCATGACAGTGTCTGTCTGTCTATCCCCACCCGACTGTCTCCTTGGATTTTTCCCTCCCTCTCTTAGAATTTCACTGGGGGTTGGGGGGAATGGGAGAAGGAGCGAGATGGATGGAGGGGAGGGAAAGATACTCTTATGGAGGTTAGGTTGATTAGGAACAAAATAGCTCCGTGGTTATCTTGAGACAAATTTGCTACTGGGATCCTGCCGCTGCCCCTCTGGCCACCCGCTGGCCTCCACCCTATTCTGCCATCCCGCTCTCAGCTGCATTGTTGGTGAGGGGACTGTGGGAAGGCTGGGAGGTGGAGGAGATCTTGCTAGCAGAAGGCCTGCTAAATTTGGAAGCTGCCCCATTGTGTGGCCCGGCTGCAAGGGCACCAGGCTGAGAGTGGGCTGGAGCAGACCGCCATTGGGTGGGGAGCCCCGTCTCCTCTCAACCAGGCAAACAATAGGTGAACACAGCTGGTGCCCCCTCTCGCTCTCCTCCCCCCACCCTCCCACCAAGAGCAGGCCAGTTTGAAAGGGAGCGAGAATGCCTTTGAGAGGACGCCAGTGGGCCGCCTGGTAGAAGGAACAAAGAGAGGAAATTCTGTTCCCCTATAGATAGTGTCTCAGCGAGGATCAGAAAGCTACAGACAAAACCCTAGAGAGAAAGAGAACTGGGGGAGGGGTGGGGGGGGCTGTGGAGAAGGGGGTAGAGGTTAGAATAGAATGGAATTTGCCCTGAAGACCGAGTTTATAAATACATTCCTGACCCAGCCCGCTGGCCCTGGCACGTGTGTGCCCGGGAGCACGTGCCTGAGATCTGGGCTCCACTGGGGCAGGTGTCCCCAAGAGACCTCAGAGACTGGGCTAGTGGCCAGCGAGAGAAGGAGGATGTACTCCCTAGAGATGCCATCCCCTCCCTCGCCAGCTTCCATACACACCTGGATCAGTTAGAGCTGAGAGACATCACCTTGTCTAATGTCATCATTTTTTTAACAGAGGAAAAAACTGAAGTCTGTCAAGGGGAAGTGACTTGCCCAGGGTCACACGGGTAGCAAATACAGTAGCTTCCCACTCCCCCCCCCGCCCCAAACCATCCTATTGCTCTGGGCACATCCTGTGCCCATCCTGCAACCTGGGCACCTCACCCTCTACTCTTCTGCCTCCCTGCTATTGGTCCTCTTTCCAGCCTTTACATCAAGATGGGCTGGCCCTGCCCAGCAATGAATGGACATAGCTAGGTCCCCAGAGAAGCTGGGGCCCAGGCTGCCACCAGCCCTGCTGTGTGAGGAAATTTGAACTATGGGGATGACAGGTTTAGAGCTGGAAGAAATACTGGAGGCAAGACAGTCTTCCTCATTTTACAGATGAGGAAACTGAGGCTCAGAGGAGGGGAAGTGACTTGCTCAAGGTCACCTGGCTCTTTTAGTCCAGTGGATGCCCTGTCCCCAGTAGAGGGTAGGGAGGGGAGATGAAGGGGCGAGATGCTCAGGCAGACTGGATTTACCTACGGAGTCTATCCGAAGTAGGTGCTGGAGGTCGCTGATGGATCGGAGCGAGGGGTGGCTGAGCAGCTCATAGATCTCCTCAGGAATAGGGTCCCCCTGCCAGGCAAAGACACAAACAGGAAGACATGAGCTTGGAAGTGGGGTGTGTGTGCACGTGTGTGTGCATGTGTGTGTGTGCATGTGTGTATGTGTGCGTGCATGTGTGCATGTGTGTGCGTGCACGCGTGTGTGCTTGTGTGCATGTGTGTACGTGCACGTGTGTGCGCGTGTGTGCGCGTGTGTGCGTGTGCATATGTGTGTGTGTGCACTGTGTGCATGTGTGTGTGCATGTGCTTGTGTGTGTGCATGCGCACGCGCATGTGTGTGTGTGTGTGTGCACGCGCGTGTGTCTAACCACCCTCCCTTGGAGTGGGACATAACTGATCACTGAGGCAGGCTGGCCCTCTCCGGCCTGGAATGCGCGTGCTCTTTCTGGGTACCTGCTGAAATCCTCCTCTCCCTTCAAGGCCCAGCTCAGCGGCTGTCTCTGTCGTGACGCTCCCCCCAATCCCAATCTCCATCCTCATACGTGCCTAGAGATCGTCCTTTAGCTCTGCCACGCTCTACCTTGTAGCATCCTCTGGATGCACGGATGGCACCGTAGAGAAGAGCTACCCCAAGCCCTCATCTTTCAGGTTAGAAAACGGAGGCTCAGAGGTCACTCAGACCATAAAATCAGATCTCTGACCCTGGAAGGGACCTCGGGTCATCTAGCCCATTTTACAGATGAGGAAACTGACCTGTGCACATGATCCATCCCCATCACCAGATTGTTAGCTCTTTGAGGACAGAGCCTATGCTGTTTCTAGGATTATACATTTAGAGTTGGAAGGGACCATGTAGCTCAATCACCTCATTTTCCAGATAAGAAAGGTAGGGCCCAGGGAGAAGTGACTTGTCAAAGGTCATACAGGTAGTAAGTGGCAGAAAGGGATTTGAAATCAGGTCCTCCTACCCCCAATCCCTTCATTTCCCACTGAAGTTCAAAGCCTCCCATGTTTTTTTATTTCTGTCTCCCCATCCCTGAGCAGAGTGCTTTGCATGTAGTTGATGCTTAATAAATGCTTATTGAAAATGCAGACAGACAAGCCTCTTGCATGATAGGGGAGCTCTTTTCCCAGGTACCCCAAGGCCTGAAATCCGCCCTTCTCCCAGTGTCCAGCCAAGACTATTTTCAGAGCACTGCCCTGGCCTCTCCCCAAAAGCACATGAAACCGAATAAGGGGGTGAACCATTCCCCACCCATGGCCCAGTTTCCTCCAGGGAAGCCATCCATCCTACAATATCACATCGCAAGCATTCGAAGGGCCATATGACATCATCGGCCATCCTGGGCCATATCACATGGGATTCAGGTTTCACACCTCACGCGGGTTGGGGGCGGCCCCCAACATCCCACACGAGGTGGGGGGAGGGCAAAGAAGGGCTCAGGGAAAAGACCAGCTTCCAAAGGGAGGGAAAGGAAGCTGGAGGGATGAACAAGTGTGCAGCCCTCAGCACGGCAAACACTGCTCTTCCAGCTGCCTGCCCAGTTAGACTGTTGGGAGAAGGATGATCTCACAGGCCAGGGCCTGGTACTGCAGGTTCCTCTCACCACTCAGTTTCCTAGATGCTAACGGCAAGACCCTAGTGAGGGGAGCCTTCTCTGCAAATACTTCCTCTGTCGGGAAGGTTCTTTTCAATGGAGGCCGCCCACCTTCCCCTCCCCCCGGTCACACGTACTCCCCTGAGCACAGGCGTCCCTCCGGGGCTCACTCGGACCCTCACTGCAATCATCCTGTTTTTAGCTAGAAGGTGCTCTTAAAACCTTAGGTTGAAGCTCTGTAGGGGACCCTAGGGGCCATCTAGTCCAACCTCCTTGTTTTACAGAGGAGGAAACTGAGGCCCAGGAAAGTGAAGTACCTCACACAAGGTCCCAAGGATAGGAAGCATTAGGGTCAGGATTCAAACTCAGTTCTGCTGGCTGGTCTAAGCAACGCACTACGATGCCTCCCCCACGGTAAAAGCCGAGACTTACCCGGCCTTTCACAAAGAGCTTTGCATCTGCCATCTGACTAGATCCTTCCTAAAAACCCTGTGAGGAAGTAGGTCGATTGGGCGGGCATTCTGGAAAAGGAGACTGAGGGTCAGAGGGGTGACATGCCCTGCCTGTAGTCACAGAGCTGATAAGAAGGAGACTGGGGATCCAGTGCCCCTCCCTGGAGTGTGAGCACCCTGAGGGCAGGGGCTCTTTGGGTCTCCAGCATCCAACCCCACATGGTAGAGTGGTGGATTAGGGAGTGCTTCCTGAATGCAAGAGTATACAACATGTCTTTCACCTCTTTCTGCCAATGAGGAGACTGAGGCCCCGGGAAGGGGCTTGCCCAAGGTCACAAACCAGGGTCTCCGGAACCTGGCTGTGACCAGGCCAGGCCTTTTCTGCTGTCTTCCAACCTCTAACAACTCAGGCCAGGCCTCCAAACAGAGCAGACACAGAGTAAATGTTGACCGACTCAAACTTTGGTTCCTGGTGTTTAGTTAAGGCTGAGGGAGGGTGGGGCGCAGGGGGGAGGAGCTGTTTTCCCATGACTTGGTTCTAGAAACACAGGCTGAGGTGGGGGTGGGGAAGGGAGCCTGGCTAGAGCTCTGTAGGGTCTGGGGAGGCAGGAACTTTGCTCCCCGAGGTTCAGCTAGGCCTCGGCTTCCCAGCTGAGTTCTGAACCAGCGTCTGAGGGTGGGGGGCAATGGAGAAGAGCAAGGGTGGGGGGCAGTGCTCTGCAGGGGATACTGGCACTGTCGAGTTACACTCTGTCCCCTGGACAGCTACCTGCAGCATCACATTGGAGCATCAGGGCATGAGAGGAACGGGACCAGAGAGATCCAGGGGAGTCCTTTGGGTGGTCTGGGTGCCACCCCTAACCCTGAGGCAGCATGTACAGTACAAGGGGCCTCTGGGCTGGACTCCCAACTCACTTGCATTGCAAATTAGAGGACTTTAGGCAAGGTCCAACCAGGGTGTGGGCCTTCCTCCTCCTCTGAGACCACCTTCTGTCTCCTCCTCTACATCTGTATACACCTTACCTTCTCCCTTAGACTGGGAGCTCCAACAGGGCACAGGCTGTTTTTTGCCTTTCTTTGCCTCCTCAGGGCTTAGCACAGTGCCAGGCACACCACAGACCCCTAAAAAATGCTTTCTGACTGACAAAAGATTTGGATTACACGGGTCTTTGAAGTTCTTTCCAACTTGGACATTCTACAATGTTAATATCCTGTGCTCTAAGGTCGCTTCCAGCTCTGCCGTTCTCTGTTCTAAGTCCCTTCCAGCTTTGACCTTCTCTGTTCTAAAGATATTCCATGTTCTAAGCTCTGACCTCATAGGCTTCCTTCTCCACCAAAGAACCCCTGAATCCCCCAAGGATGATCATTCCTACCTCCAAACTCTGCTATTCCTCCTAGCTCTCACTTCTGGAGCACTTTAAGGTTTACAAAGCACTTTAAATATACCATCTCCCCCGATCCTCAAAACAACCCTAGGAGGTAAGTGCTATTATAACCCCCATTTTACAGATGAGGAAAATGAGGCTGTGCCCACCCTACTTGCTAGTAAGTGTCTGAAGCAGTTTTTGAATTCAAGTCTTTCTGGTACTAAATTCAGCATTCTCCACCCAGTCAGTGTGCCACCTATGCTATTAATTTAGCCTCTGGAACGTATGACCTTATCTTATGCTCCTTCTGAAATACCTCTTTGGAGTAGTGGCCAACACATGATCCCCACTACTGGTGGATCTTTTGCACTCAGAAGTTCTGGGCTACAGTCAGGTTTAAACCATTCAGGCATCCTCTCAAAGTCTGCCACCAATATGTCTGGGTGGAGGTAGGGGGTCAGTGGGCTTGGATAAGGGGGTACAAACTAGCTCAGGTGGAAAAAACCAAGCAAGTCAAAGCTGCCATGCTGATTAGCAGTGGGGCCATTCAGTAAGTGGTCAATGTACTTTGAGCCTGGTCAACATAAAGAGACTCAATCTCAAAAAACAAAAAAGAGAAGTTAGAAGAAGAGGAGGAGGAGGAGGAGAAAGAGGAGAAGGAGAAGAAGAAGAAGACTGTATTATCCATATTTACACCATATTTTACACTGGTCTAACAGAGTCCTCCCTATAGGAAGCCTTGTCAATATATGTATCAGTTGATGTATGATCACAGTTGGAGACCCTGAGACAGCCATTGGGTCAACAGTACGACACGGTGGCCAAAGAAGCCACTGGATCTTGGGTTCCAATAAGAGGAAGAAGGAGGGTCCATAACAAGGGTGTTGAATGTCTGGCTGTCTCTGCCCTGGCTAGAACACACGTGGAGGGCTGGGTTGAGTTCTGCGGCCCACCATTTAGGAAGGATGTTGACGTGCTGGCCTCCAGGATGAGGAAGACAGTCATATGACTCTGCCATAGAAGGATCAGTTGAGGGAAGTAGGAAAGCTTTAGCCCACAGAAGGGAAGGATGTAAGAGTTGTCTTCTTCAAGACTTTGAAAGACTGCCCTGTGGAAGTCTACTTGGCCCCCAAGGCAGGTGCAAGAAACAACAGGTGGAAATCACAGGGAAATAGGATTAAGCTCCTATGGAGGAAAAGCCCCTTAACCTTGAGAGCTGTCCAACAGCAGAGCAGGCTGCTGTGAGAGGCACTAGGGGGTTCTGCTCCCCCTCCAGGCCTTGTATGGGGTACACGTTGCAGAGGCATGCCAGTTCAGGTTCTGGTTGGACCACATGCTTTCCAAGGGCCCTTCTAGCTCTGAGATTTGGTGGCCACACAAGGACGATAAAGATGGTGATAACCAGGGAGCTGAGAGTGGATGTTGGTAGCGCCCTACCTACGTAGGTGTGCACCATCACCCCTGGGCCACATGTTGCCTGTGTGCCTCCCCAAGCCTTTTCTGCCTCCAGCGGGAGGCAGCACTCAGTCACCAGAATGGCGTTATTCCAAGCTGAGGGGGCTGCCAGCTCTGGGTTGTGGGGAAGATGAACAATCACAAATCTGGATTGGATGGCAAAGCAGAGGTCAGCTAGCCCACCCCTAGATTTTACTG